ATACTCTAACTATCAGTTTGACTGGATTAACTGTATTCACTGGAATAGTTTCAAGATGATGATTGAAGAGACCATGACTGATTAATACTGCAGCAATACAAACAATAATCTTTCCTAACCAAAATATTTGCGCCAAAAGTGAGGAACTGGTATTGATAAAAATAGAAGGAGCCACTAAAGGTCCAAGATTATGCCAGTGTATGATAGCAGTTAGTTCATCACTTGATGATCCAATGAGCTGATCAATATTGAATGGTAACAGATTAACACGTGCAACTCCAATAGTAATGAATAGAGTAAAGCAAAGGATTTTATAAATCAGTAATGGATAGCCAGTTGACATCAATTGTAGTGACACCATTAGAAGCAAAAAAATGAGTAAAACAAATGAAGAATATAATCCAGCAAAAATTAATCTGTGACGACTTATTACAAAATCTCCCAAATATCCAGCAACAACAAAAGTAAAGGAGAGCCCAGCTTCTACCTTTCTACGATTAATTAATGATATACTGGTACTCATTACATAAAAATGAGCCATTGCAATCAATAGATCCCAGATCAAAACCAAAATTGCACCTTTTGTGTGTATCAACAGGAGACGAAAAAAAGAAAGACAAGAGAAACATCTTCTTTTAACTGATGAAGATCCTAACAAAGGAACACTCTCAGACATGATGATAGTAAAAGTAAAAGCTGTCCACTTGTAGAAGTATTTTATGAACAAGCTACAACAATTACACAGCAGTTTATTCAAAGTAATGGGTTAAGGTTTACATACATGTACACAACATGCCATCAATAACTTTCAATGTTAACTTACATCAAACTATGCCCATTAATCTGGGCTATTCTGTCAAAAGAGAATTAGTTTCTGATAAAAACAATAATGATATCATGTGGATAAAGATCCTTCCTGTTATGATATTGCAAATAACAATAGGCAAATGTTAACCTCTTAATTCATTTTAAGTAAAAAACTTTAAATGCTTACAAATGTTATTGGTTTTGGCTTAGCCCAAAGCATTTTATAATACAGATTACTTAATTAGAAACATGCCATTCTAACTGCTTCATCATAATGATCTGAAAACAGTAAAATCATTTGCCAACAAGAAAATATCAGTTTTACAAAATTAACTATTTGGGGAAACTTAATGTGTATGTCATTATTGCTACTCATTACAAAATAATAAAAGTAAAACTGCAAATTTCAAACACACACAAAAAATAAGACATCCACACATATTGCTGGCAACTTATAGTTAGAAACTTTAGTGGTAAAGCATGTAATATAAAAACTCTATTCTAGACAAACTAAGCTTGACACTACATCAAAGTTGCT